AAGTTTCCCTKAGGAAGGGACACCAATGACAAGGAGACGTGAATGAGAAGGAAAGCCAGTCTGGGGGGAAGAATGGTCCAGGAGGGGAACAGTAAGACTCTGAAGTTCAATAAAGTTCAGTATTTAAAAAACAAAAGCAACCCCCCTCCRCCGCCCCGTGCCCATAGTATGTAGGAATAAATGGTTCCTATCAGCAGATGATAAGTTTGAGGAATTTCAGAAAAGGTATAAAGCAGATGGATCAAATTCATGACAAAGCTGATCAAGAGCAGTCTATGATGCCAGTAGAGTCATCAAAGACAGTAGCTGGGCAGGGGCTGGGGACAGAGCCAGTGGCACAGTGCTTGCCTAGCATGCCCAAAGCCCTTCCCAAAGGCAGCTTGGGAAAATGCCAAGCTCTGGTGGCAGGACTGGAAACAGAGGCCACGGCTGGGCATTAGACAGGGGACTTATGGAAGAAACTCAGTACAGAATAAGCGCCACATGGAAGAAGGGGTTTGCTAAGTAAAGGGAGGTGCTTTTTGTTCAGTTTCCAACACAAGCAATAAGACCAGGGCAGAGGCAAATCATCTCAGCAGCGCAGAAACCTCTAAAGACACCCCAGCTTTCCTGCTACCTCCAGCTGCTTCGGCAGATCTGACTGGGCTCCCCCAGGACCCATGGCAGAGGGAGAAGAGTGGATTTCTTGGGGAGCACCTGAGGAGGGAGCTGAGGGGCAGTAGAACCTCCATCTGGACCTGACTCAGGGCAGAGCACTTGTCTTGCTAAAGAAGGTGGGGCTCTGTCTCCCAAGGACCCCACAGCCGGGTCTTAGAGCTCYGAGAGAGGATCCAGTCTCTCAGGCTGCTCTGCATTCAGAGGGGACCCTGACAATTTACMCGAGCCCTCCCACTGAGACACATGGGGGTGCGGGGGCGGGGGGGAGCATCCCTATAGCAGCAGGAACTGCTCAGAGGAAAGCAGCCAGGGCCAACTCAAGGAACCACACCAGGAGTCCCCAAACCATGGTGTGTCCCAGAATCTCCTCCAGTGCTTGCTGAAGATGCAGATGTCAAGGGCTGGGCATGGAGCTCTGTGGTAAAGTACCTGTCTAGCCTATGCGAGGCCCTGGGTTCAATCCCCAGTACCAGAAGGGAAAAATTTTTTTTAGATGTCCAGAGCCTCTCCACGGCATGTTTTTTGTTTTTTGGGGTTTTTTTGTTTGTTTGTTTGCATGTGTGTTTTTAATGTTCACAGTTTGAGAACCATTGACTTGCCTAGTTGCTGATCGAGCTCTCAGCACCTATTGATATTGTTTCCTAACCCAAATCTATGTGGGGAGATTAAAAGAAAAAATAAATAGCAAAGACCTTCATTTATGAAAGTGAGCGGTCCCTCAAGTCACTGGGATGTGCAAGGAATCTTCTGCTCCGAGCAGTGATTGGAGCTATGAAACAATGATCCTCTGATCAGTGATTGCCAGGGACCCAGACAAGGGGGCAGAAATGGAATGGAGATATTTAAATACAAAATAAGGGAAATAAAATCTGTATCATGCTCTCCGGGGGATTCAGGGGGATAGACACRAAGAGAGCAGAGCAGGCTGCTAAGAACAAAACCCAGTCAGCACCATCAGGACGGAAAGTGTGATTGTTGCCACCCCTCCCAATTCTCAGTGGGAAAAGAAAAAGTCACCAAAGCAAAAAAATCACAGAATGGACACCACCGAAACCCACACTGGGGACTCTGAAGAGCAGCAWTTCCAGAGGTTCTCTCCTTTGAGTATAGAATGAAAAGACTAAGAGATGGAAATTAAGATTGGGAAAAGATAAGAGAGATGGCAGCTCCATTCTGGAAGTCAAGGATTCCTACCAAAGGATTTCCTGAAAAGAGAGGGTAGAATGGGAAAAAAAGAGAAGGCGTGATTAAACAATAAAAAAAAAAAAAGGAGAAAGACAAAAGACCCTGAATTCAAGAGAGATATAAGTTTTTGGATCAGAATGAAAGAAACTACCCGAATCATGTAGAAATATAAATAAAAAGAGATGCTCATTGACATACGATAGAAGTTCCAAAATCTAGCAAGTTCATATACATCTGGAAAAGAATGGGATGTGGAAGAGGTGAATTAAAAGTTTCTGCTTTTAATTTTACATATTTCACTCTATGTGTTTTTATTTTAGTGACATTTTTAATTAAAATATTTCAAAGTAACATTTTCTTTAATAGAGCTATAAAAAAAAGTTGGCATAATGAGAGAAATAGACAAACTCTAGATAGGGCAGAGGGGTGGGAGGGGAAGGGAGGGGGCAGGGGGTAATTAATGATGCTGGAATGTGATGATCGTAACTATTCAAAGTACAGGTATGAAGAGACGAATTGGTGTGAATATACTATGTATACAACCAGAGATATGAAAAATGGTGCTCTATATGTRTAATATGAATTGTMATGCATTCTGCTGTMATATATAAATTTAAAAAAAATTGGCATAAAACTTGACTAGTGAAGCAAAAGTCAGGGAAGAGGAAAAGAAACAAGAAGAAAGAATGATATTCAGAAAATATAAAGTTATCAGGAAAAAGATACAATAAATGATCAAAGTAAATTCGAAGGTTATCCTTCCCAATACCCAAAGCAAAACAGCATTAGAAAAAAATGATCTGAGGACATTATAACTGTCAAATCAAAAAGAATGGACATCCAGTAGCCAGGTGAAGACTCTCGAATATATTAATAAAGAAATAGAAAGTTAAATGAGACTCCCCCTGCCCCAACCTATTGGATTTGCAAAGTTAAAATGCTTGGGTTTGTAAGGATGTGGGGAAACAAGAACTTTCAATGAGGGTGTGAAAAAATTTGTTGTAGTTTTGCTCAAGAGGAATCTAGGCACATGAACTAAAATTAAAATATGTGTACCATTCCCAGAAATTCTACTCCTGGAAAATTTATATTAAAGAAATAATTGGACTTGTGTACAAGCGATGTTCCTTGAATCATTGTTAATGTTATAGAAAAAGACATGACTTAATATTTATGACCCAGGGATGGATTAAATATATTTTACTTCACTCATGCCAGGGGATATTATGCAGATATTTAAAAATGATAAGGTGACTCCATGTGGGCTCACATGAAAAGATTGCCATGATACATTGCCAATTAAAAATATTGAGCAGTATATATAGATAAAGAACCCAATTATACTAAAGAGTAGGATATTTTATATGTGTACAAATCTAAAGGGATAGACATTAAATCAGAGGTTCCCAAACTTTCTGAGTTCATGACACCCTTAGTGAGTTAAGTTTTTCATGGTCCCCCTGGGCCAGAAAAATCCCTAACAGTTATTAAGTTCAGGATCAAATCAACTTAATATGTATTTATGTACTTATGTGAAGTGCAAATAAATTGAAAGAAAAAAATTTCTTTCTTTCTTTTTTTTTTTTTTTTGGTACTGGAGATTGACCACAGGGGCATTCAACCACTGAGCCACATTTCCAGCCCTATTTTGTATTTTATAGAGACAGAGACTCACGGGAGTTGCTTAATGTCTTATTTTTGCCCTATTTTGTATTTTATTTAGAGACAGGGTCTCACTGAGTTGCCTAGTATCTCGATTTTGCTGAGGCTGGCTTTGAACTCGTGATCCTCCTGCCTCAGCCTCCCAAGCGGCTGGGATAACAGACATGCGTCACCTTGCCTGACTATAAATAGCCAGCCACAATGTAAACCTGTTGGGACTGCACATTTTCTCAAACTTTGGAATCAGATGGGATTCTACCACTCGTCTTTTCTTCTCCCAGGTYGATTTTTATACAATATTAACTTTTTTATCCCAGAAACTGCTCTGAACAATCTAGATTTGCAAACATGTGACATCATTGAGAAGGATGGAATACGCTCTGTGGTTGACAGGGAGCCACCCKGAGCCTGTAGCTTACACCGTCTCTGACAGCTGTCCGACATTGCTCTTCCCRTCAACCATTTAGTCCATGGTAGCCCTAGTTCCCCCCTGCAGCTTGGAAAGGAGGGCGTCAGACTATGAACAGAGCTTCTTCCTAGAGAATGATAATGGGTGAGAGGGAGAGAGGATTTTCTTCTTTGGGCACATATGGATTGCTTTTTAAACTTTTCATGATAAGCATTTATGACTTTTACTAATTCTTAGAGGGTTTCTCCATTTCAAGAGAAGATGCCAGAAAAACAACCAAAAAAAAAAAAAAAAAAAACCCCAAAGAACAAAAAACAAAAGTGGAAGAGAAAGTGAGTGTGACAGAAAAATGAGAAAAGAAATGTCATCCAGCTGGGGGGTGGGGCAGAGGTTGCGAAGGCACAGAGCGCAGAATCGTTTACGCGCCTCCTATAATTTTGGAAGTGGTCCAAGACCCTCTGGGCTTCCTTGGTTCAGCGATTAAGTAGCTACACCTGTTCCCCTCACAGGGCAGGAGCGCCTGGGTGATGGARTTACTGCTGCCAGGCTTTCCAGAAGAGCAGAGTGATGACATTCACAGCCCTGGACCCCTCTGCCTGGTGCAGTCCAAACTGCCACATACTAAGCTGTGTGACCCATGAACTCTGCTGGGCCTGAGTTTCCTCATCAGTTCCATGGCAAGAGTAATAATGTTTAATAATGTTTATGTGCTGAGAGAATTGAAGACACCTACTGTGTGATATGGCCAGGACAGAGCAAGTGAGTGCCAGCTAACACTGCCACCGCCTGCTAAGAAGAAAACACGGATTCTTTTTTTTTTTTATAGGAAAAAGTGAACAACTGCCCAGTTATTTCGATGCACAAAGGGTCAGAGAGAGAGGTCAGAGGGAAGCCTCAAGGACCCACCTACAAATCAAAGCTCTAAGGAGGTAGAAAGCTGGGACAAGCAGAACTCGGTTGGGGATTCCTGGCAAGGTTTCTGTGTTAGCAATAAAACGCRTCAGATGAAGATAGGGAGTAATGTGATCTCATAGTTTTTTTCCCCCTGCAACCCTCCCGCTCCCAAACCTTAAAACATTTTTTTTACCTCATCTCTATGTCCCATAAGGCGATGTCATCACTGATCCAGGGATTAGATGGCTCTGCGGGCGTTATGAAAGGATCATATTCCACATACTGCTCCGTGTAAGCAATTAAGCTGCAGGAGGGAAGCACAGAAAGGCACTGACTTCCCGGAAAAATGGCAACTCTGTTTCCCACAAACAGGAGAGCAGTCTTCCTATGACTCTAAATTAAAAAAAGAATATTTCTACTCCCACTTCTGACCCACCAAACTGCTTTCACTAGTCCTTGTTCCCTTCCTGTTATGAACATCAGCTCTGCATCCTATGGCTGCTGTCATAGTATACAGATGAATTTTAAGACCTCCCCCGCCCCCCGTCCTGGTTTACCTGCAGCTTAGCGCACCATCTTGCCCTGCTTGTGCTAGCCTTACGGATGCATTGGTCCAAACCTGCTTGAATTGCCTTCCTGCAAAGACCACAGGTCTCAAGGCATCAGGAGCTCACAGAAGACACTATGTATGGTTCTGCCAGGTGGCTGACCCAGCATTCACAAACAGGGGACTTTCTTATGGGAAAGTCTTTTAAATCCTGGCACACCACAAGGAGTTCACATTTTTCCAAAAAGCCATTTCATTTTTCTAGTTATAATTACAACCTAATAGACATACTAATATATAATGTAATTAATATATAATGTGAAACAATTAAATAGTACTAAATGGTTGTAGGTACCCCCTAAAAAGCCGTTCTTGTTTTCTCTTATCTCTTCTTCTAGAGGCATCTATGTTCTATCTTCTGTTCCTTCTAGAATTTACCTGTCTATTTTAACATTATGTGCTTTTGTAGCTGTTCTCAATTTATCAATTCTAGACAAGGATTTAACTTCCTACTCACTAGTCTCCCAGTCCGCCACTTCAATGTTCTTCCAAATAGACTTGTATAACTATTTTTGTTAAACCAGTGGCCAGTGTCCACATTATTAAACTGGATAAAATTGTTGCTCAGCCTAGTAGCTAACTACTGTTTTCCCAGTGTCTCGAACAAACCTATAAAACACTTAGCAAAAATGTTTTTACATCTTAGACACCTGAGATATCAGTTCTCTTCCTATCCCCTAGAGATCTTCTCCCCTATCTCCAGGAAGTCCTCTTCTCCACAGTCTGTAGCTCTCTTTCCCCAACATGGACTGTTATCTCCATAGACCTGAAGCAAAATCATCATCCTGAGACTTCYGTTACTTCTATTGAAACCTCATTTCTCAGATTCTGTGTCTGGATCTTGGTTTATATATCACATTTTCTTTATCTATTCATCTGTTGAAGGACACTTATTTGGTTACATAGTTTAGCTATTTTGAGTTCAGCTGCTATAGACATTGATGTGACTGTGCCACCGTAGTATTCTGATTTTAAGAACTTTGGGTAGGGTATTAAGCAAGGAGTCGGATAGCTGGATCAAATGGTGGTTCCATTCCAAGTTTTCTGAGAAATCTTATACTGCTTTCATAATGGTTGCACCACTTGGCAATCCCACCAGCTATGTACGAGTGTACCTTTCCCCCCACATCCTCACCAACATTTATTGTTGTTTGTATTCTTGATGATTGAAGATAGAACGTCTTTTATCCAATTACTTACAAGTTACGGAGGAGGCCATCCCCTGCTGGAGTACTGGTCCAGGTTGGAAGACCTTAGATTTAGTTCTTGGTTAAGACATCAAATTACTCTTATCAAGTTTACCATATATTATATAATAGCCTTGTTGAGAGGTAAAAAAAAAAATAGGAAAGCATTTCAAAGTAATCTTGAAGTCCTCTATAATCATCACATATATGATTGAAAGCACCATTCCAGGAGAGGTAGATCATGTGTCCTGTAAGTCCTCTATAGGCCCTTCAGTGTTTCTCATTGAATTTTAAAAGGCCAGAGAGACACTATTGAAGTGGGAAGTGCTGCCTGGTGACTCAAACCACAGTGACACACTGGCTTCCAACCAGGTCTCTTTTCGAGAAATTTGGGAGTATCTGGAGAAGGGGTGGTGTGATGGTTAATCTGAATTGTCAACTTGATTGGATTAATAGGCTTATGGGTGTGTCAATGAGGGTGTGTCTAGCAATGATTGGCATGTGGGATAGCCAACTGAAATGGAGACCCTCCCTAAGTATGGGCAGCTCTGTCCAATAGGATGATGACTTGGATGGAGTAAAAGTTGGAAGAACAAAGACTGCAGCAGATGCAAGCTCAATTCTTCTTTTTTCTTTGTGGTGCTGGGGATTGAACCCAGGGCCTTGTGCATGCAAGGCAAGCACTCTGCCAACTGAGCTATATCCCCAGCCCTTAATTCTTCTTGAATGGGTTCTTGATTGCTGCTGTGATCGTCTGAGGCTATGGGACTCTGGCTTCTTCACTCTTCCAAAGTGGACTCTGCCAGTGATTCTCCAGAAGCCTTTGGTCTTGGACTAGGGTAGCACTGTTGATCCCTCTGGTTCTGGGGCTTCAGCCCCTTGGACTGTTGTGCAGCTACTGGTTTGTCCAGCTCTCCAGCCTGCAGATGGCCACTGTGGACTTTACAGCTTCTGGTTGTGTAAGCYGTCCTAACAAATCCCAATTTTATAATTATACTGCCTATTGATTCTGTTCCTCCAGAGAACCCTGACTAATACAGGTGGTGAGATTTAATGGTGATCTTGGTTCAAGAAATTGTGGTCCTAGGCAGGATGTTGTAGCCACCCACGCCAAGAAACAAGATATGGGTGAGCAGGCACCGAAGGTACTTCTGGGCTTTAGCTTGGTTCTACTCATCCGCTGAGAGCTGCACCATGATGTGCACACAGGGAACATTTAAGGGCTGCCATGGACCCATTTGTAAGCTCTGTTCCTGGCCCTGGTTGATTTGCTCAGAAACAGACGCCTGCCCCGAGTGGGGTCAATCTTCTCTTTTTCCGGCTTCAGCAGTGGAAGCTATACCGTCACAAAGACAGGAGCTAGAGGTGGTCACATTTCCTACCATATATCTGTAGTGAAATAGACTGAGGCTGTGTGGAAAGTGGAGAAAGGGCAGGGGTGAAGAAGGAGCCTCAGAGGTGCTAAAAGCCCTGGCTCTGACTCTTTTGAGCTTYGTTGCATGGCCATCCATCCCAGAGTTCAATCTGCAGCATTGTATTCCAAGGATCTATATAGGCTTTATTTTTTGCTGAACCAAAATCAAACTGGGGTTGCTTGGCTTGAAACCTAATCAATACATTGAAAGGCGGGTGACAGGGAGGGGAATATGAAGGCATGTTCATATTTCTTTTGTAGCGCTGGCCAAGGAGGCTCCCTGTCCTCAAGAATATGTGCTTCCTGGGGTGCACAGATCACAGGATGAACAAAGTCTGCTCAGGAGGCACAGAACAAAGAAAAGGCCAGGCAGGCAATGAAGGAGATGGCCACGATCAATACCCAAAGCCAATACTAATGACCACAGAAAGACTTGGGGAAGGACAGCAAAAGCATAAGGGAAAGTACAACAGAGGCAAGGTAAGGGGCTTTGTGGGAGGCCCCCCACCTACACGGATGCATGTGGCAGAAAAGCAGGAGGAGGAGGAGATAGAAAATAGAAAATAAACATAAGAAATCTAGAGGACGCTCATTAGGAACAATATTTCTCACTGGGCTTCTTTAAACATTCTTGAGCCCTTGTCCCTGACGCCTTCTGATCACTCTCTGGTTTTCTTATTTTGAAGTTCTTGCATCAGTAGAAGATGCTATCTATCAACCTTTGTCAATGTGCCACCCACCATTACTGGGGCTTTGAACTGGCCCCTGGGTGGAGATGCAGAGCTGGCTGACCTGTCCACACACTCCTGCCCCTTCTCTCTGGAGTAGCTGGCACTAATCAGCAGATGCTGCCATGGAGACACTCTGTGGTCAGTCGGCCATTTAGAAGACAGTGTGCGGCACTCCTGATGTCATTAAACAGCAAACAGGTCTCCGGGTCACTGGGAGATGCTCGCACTGAGCTAACGGCAAAGTCCAGTTTCCAACTCTATTAACCAGTCATGGGGTGCTAAATGGTTATTAATTCAAAACCTTCTCGATTTAGAATGTGATTAGGGTCTACCTTGGATAAACTTGAAGAAGAAGGAAATGATGAAAGGGAGTTTAGAAATCACCTTTCATCCAACCACTTGAAAAAAYCTGGAAAAAAGTTTTGGATGTGATCCTTTCTTTCTGAACAACAGCAACAACAACAAAAAAAGTTGACATGACTTGGTTACAAATAATGTGACTTGTAAATAAAGAAACATTTGGCCGTGGAGTTGGAGGAAGAAGAGATGCGGCCCCCGAGGTGGAGTGACGCTGAGGAAGGCATCCCAGGAGCTCAGTGCATGTATGTGGAGTTGGTTTGCAGAGTGGGTAGGGGAGGAGATGAAGAGGCACCAACGTGGTTATTTTTCAAGGGAGAACAAGGCAAGGAGAGAAAGGCACAGTGACGCAGGGACCATCATTTCCACTTTAGTAGTACAGTGGACATGTGCTAAGGCATTCCTGAAGTCCCAGCCTCCAAACAAGCTGGAAACCGGACACGGAAGGTGCAAGGGACGAGGAGGAGGACGTGTCACCTTCTCCTTGGTGTGTGCAGTTTCTAAACTGATACACAAAAGGGAGGTGGAACAGAGGAGGACCTGGTGAGAGAGAAGGAAAACCAGGACAGAGAGGAAGTTGGGTTCCCATCAGTTAGTTAGTTAGGGTTTTTCATGTAGGAGAAGGTGGAGAGGAGAGAGGAAAGATAAAGAACTCCCTTCCCAGCACCTCAGGAGGCTGAGGCAGGAGGCTCTCGGGTTCAAAGCCAGCCTCAGCAACTTTTGAGGCCTTCAGCCACTTAGTGAGACGCTGTCTCTAAATAAAATATAAAAAGGGGCTCAGTGGTTAAGTGCCCCTGGGTTCAATCCCTGGTTACTCCTCACTCTCTCTCCAAAGAAAGACAGGCAGAAAGAATTCCTTAACCATTGGTCACCCAGAGGAAATCTATTCAATAGAGAAACTTGGGATGAGTTAAGGGACTTGCAGGTGAATTGGGCCCCTGAAAAAGAAGAGCAAATGCTAGGAAAGGTCTCCTGGACCCTTTTTCCCTGTACGCTACAGATTCCAGG